TCAAGTTCGTTTCCTAAGCTTACGGTTGCTGCCATTGGTGTTATTCAATTCCCTAAGTCATAAAGTTGCCATCTTGGAGGTCTTGTAGTATCCATGCATGAGTTTTGTTCATTCTAAGGAAGTAGGTTGTCATATTTCAAGTTTGGGTTCTTTTGGGGGCATGCAAGCCACCAAGTAATCGACTTTATGGGTTAAGACCCTTCATTGGACTTAGATCTGTGTTAGGAACCTTAGGTCTCAAGGGATTAACTTCTTTTTGGGATTATGGCTTAACATGAGAGTACGTTGAGCGTACAATCCTGTACGCTTAACGTACAAGCCATGCAGCCAGTAGGCAAAGCGTACAGATGAGTACGCCCTGCGTACTCAGTGGATTTGGGTTGTCATCATTTAGGCCTCGGTTTTGGCTATTTCCTTATACTTGTGCCTTAGGCCTTAGTGGGTCATCTGGAATCGTCACCTTGGGTCAGGAAAATGATATTGAGCCATATGTTTAGCCTTGTGGGATTATTTATCTTTTTTGGGCCATTGGTTATGATTTGGAGTTTCATTTTGAGGATAGGGTATGTTAGGGGTAAAATAATCTTTTTACCCCTAAGTGAGGAATTTTGGTTAAGTGATATAGATCCCGAACTTAATTAGCTTTTATTTGATAATTGATAGCTCAGGGAGTCTTAGGACCAACAGTCGGGGATCATCTGTATCATTCAGTTTTACGAGCTGAGTTTCCTCACTGGGTATAGTGGGTCTAAAGCTCCAATGTCAACCCTAGATTGGATATGATTTTATACTTGTTTTATGTATGATACTTGTATGTGCTTGGATTTATGTGTTATTGGGCGGGCCCCGTTATGCGAGTGTAGGTGGGGCCCGTATAGCGAGTGTGGGCGGGGCCTGTATCTCATTTGGTTGGGGCCAGTTGTGTGAGTGTGGGCAGGGCCCGTATCTTATTTGGGCGGGGCCCGTTATATGCTATGTATGGTATGCGGTAATTTGAGGAACTCACTAAGCTTTATGGTTACAATTTTCAGTTTATGTTTCAGGTACTTTCGGTTGCAAAGGGAAGAGTCGGGGCTGACTGCATAGCACGTACCATAGGGATTTTATTATGGGACACACTCTAATTTTCATGATGTTGACAATGATAATTGATTGTGATTAAATGAACATTGTAATGGATTTCTGATTTTACTTGGTTTTCAAAATGAAATTTTTTTATCATAATTTTGTATGTTACAAGTTTGTATCAGAGCCTTGGTTTGAGGGATCCGGACACACTCTCGGGTGTGCCTACACTCAAACTGAGGGTTTGGTAGGATTTCAAAAGAAAATTATTTTTTATATATATAAAGGATTTCTAAAAATAGATAGAGGGTGTGGTTCATGCAATCGGCCGAACTCAAGTAAGTTTTCCCAAATTACCCATACATGTCTATGAAATGTTTTAGATTATAAATCTGTGAATCACATGTTACATTAGGTTTAAGGATCTACGAGAGAGGACTTTGTATGCCTATTGTATGAGCTCATAGACTTGCATGCTAGTAATAATCAGTCAGTGATAGGAGGGTCTGATTAGGTTATGCTTGGTTCTGATTACTTGATGCTCGGATGTTGATTTCTTTGTGCTCTTAGAGATTCCAATTAGCTTCAGTTAACTAGTAAACGAACATGTTAAGTCACATATTATGGGGAATAAATAATTTCAGAAGGTTAGGTTTCAACACTATTGCGCAACTCTTGTTTGAGTCCTAACCGTGAGCTAGTTAGAGGGGATTAGTTGGGATTTCTTCCGCAACTGATAGCGGAGAGTGGTGTGAAGTTTGTTGTAGGATAATGTAGGATATGAATTTGTGTTGGAAGTGATGTTGTTGTAGGGTGACTTGGTGGAGTCAAGCAACCCATGAGGAAAGTACAGATAGATGTGGAAGGTAGTATGGGACCGTACTACTGGAAGAAGAGGATTTGTACTCGATTCATGGGGGGTTGCGATGAGACCAGGAAACTTATAGAATTTCTAGTCCCTTGGCATGTGTTTTACGATGAGGGCTAGAGAAAGAGAGAGATTGTTAGCCGATCCAGCTGCAAGACGTTAGAAGACATGATTGTGAGGGCTAGAGAAAGAGAGAGAGAGAGAGAGAGAGAGAGAGAGAGAGAGATAGATTTGGAGATGGAGAAGAAGAGGAAGCCAGATTTTGTGTCTAGTATTGAGGGTTCGGGCAAGAGGCCCAAGGTGATGGATTCAAGAAGGAAGGGCCAGTAGGGCCGAGGACACTGTGGCAAGTCCGGCAGGTCACACGAGGGTACGTGTAGGGTGGGTGGTTTTTGCTGCTTCAAGTGCGGCTAGACTGGTCATATCAGCAGAGATTGTACTGGTACCACCACCATCACTCCGGTATCTAATCTGATTTGCTTTCAATGCAATCAAAGGGGCTACAAGAAGGCCTGGTGTCCGATTTTGTCAGCAGCAGCAGGGCCGGTGTCAGCACCCAATCCTGCAACATTGAGGATTACTAACTGCCGTCTAGGTCGGGCAGATGCTCTTGCAGTGAAGAGCAGGACTTTCCAGTTGATGAAAAAGGACGCACATGCAGCTCCTGATGTGGTCACTGGTATGTAACTTCTCTTAATCTATGTATTTATATTGAATTGTTTTCTTATGTTTGTGTGTTTCATCTTAGGATCATTCCTTATGAATGGTATCTCTGCGCTGGTATTATTTGATTCGGGGGCTACCCAATCGTTTGTATCTCTTTCTCTTAGAAAGAGGTTTGTCGGGGATCTGGGGGAGCTAGATTTTCCTCTAGATGTCGAGATTACCGATGGTAGGTCTATCCGGGTTGCGAGGGTACATCGTGGTTTCACTCCTCAGTTGTTTAACGAGTGGTATCCGGTTAATTTGATTCCCATTCCTCTACGAGGGAACAAGGTTATCGTGGGCATGGATTGGTTAATCCCTAATGGGGTAGTAATCGACTACGAGAAACAGTTGGTTCGGGTTTGGACCCTAAGCGGGGGAGAGTTGGTGATTCCGAGTGAGAGATTGCAGCATGGTTACTCCATTGTTAGAGCAGATCCGTGAGGCACATGTTGAGGTTATGAAGGAAGAGCACCGGAAGAGCAAGCGCATTGTGGGTCAGGTGGCTTACTTCAATTATGATATCTTCGGATTGTTCACTCTGCATCGGCAGGTTTGGGTTCCATATCTGGGCGGTATACATCAAGTTCTAATGGAGGAGGCCCACAAGTCGAGGTTCTCCATCCAACCCAGGGCAAGGAAGATGTATAGGGTTTTCATCCTGATTTCTTGTGGCCCTGCATGAAGCGGGATGTGGCCTGGTTTGTGGAGTGGTGCCTGACTTGCAGGAAATTCAAGGTTGAGCATCAGCGACCTCACGGTAAGATGCAACCGTTGGAGATTACCATCTGGAAATGGTAAGACATCACTATGGATTTCATCACAAAGCTTCCTAGGACCGCGAGCAGTGTGGATTCTATATGGGTTCTCATGGATCGATTGACCAAGAGCACGCTTTTCATCCCGATCAAGGAGTGTATTAATGCAGAGAAGTTAGTTGAGATTTATGTTCGGGAGGTGGTGACACGTCATGGGGTGCCGATGTGTGTGGTTTCAGACCAGGATGTTCGATTTATTTCCAGATTCTAGGAACGAAGTGTTGTTCAAATTACTATTTTAACCCCCGGTTATTTCTCTGTGAGTTCAATATATAGCAACAATTTTATGTTATGTGTTAAATGTGCTATGTGCTTTTCCGTTGTAATTATTTCTGCTATTTATGACAGCAAAGTTATACCTTTGACCATGTGATCAGTGAAAGGACTTAAATTCACGGTGGTACTGGTATGTAGCCTCTGGCCATGTAGAGCATGTCTCGTAAGAAAATAACTTATATTCTATGACATTGGCAAAATGTTAGACAGGACTGAAAGCCTAAAATCTACCAAAATGTTTAATCAGAAAGTGTATGTCTTCTGTACCATTTGGATCGAACTTTATTGATGTATATCAATTATGGAAATTGTTATGTTTCATTTATTGTATATCTTTGAATCAAATCATTGATTGATATGGAAAGCTTGTCACATGATTCACATATGCCTTTGTTGTTCCTTGTTCCTCTTTGCTTCTGTCATATTGAAGTATATATATGACATAACGTTATATTGTATCTATTATTGAACTCACTAAGCGGCACCGCTTACCCTCTCAATGTTTAACAATTGCAGGAGATAAGCATCCAGTATAGTTATATACTGATAGAAGATTTTGAATAGTTTGAAACTATTGTATTTTGTACTCCCGTATGTATAAAACTATAGTATCACTACTAGAAAAATAGCCTTTTACGACATGCAAATCACGACACTCATTAATCTATGTTACGCAAATGAGAGTGACATTAAAAAAGTGTCATCTCTTCAGAAAATTTAAGGATTTAGGTCACGCATTATTGCGTGCCTTTAAATTAGTGTCAAAAGAAAAAAAATAAAAACACGGAGGGCATTGTATCTTAAATGCGCGTCTTCTGTATGTGTCGCTTTATAATTTTAATGAACTTGCGTTCCTTAGTTACAAGCGGGAAAAGAAAAGCCAAAAAATTAGAAAAGCCCGCTACCCTCCCTGCCGTAAGCATTTTCACGCATCTTTCATTCTCCTCACACTGTTATGCAACTTCTCAATCAAAGATCGAAGGTTATGATTTCATCTCCATCTCTCGACTTCATCATCTCAATCAAGAAAAAGGGCTTCTGATATCCATTCATCTACTTCATCGCTACTGTAATTTCACCTTCTTCATCTCTCTGCTGTTCTTGAGAATACTCGCCAACAGTTTTCTTGCACTATTCCTTGACCTGCTTCCTTCTATATACGCTTCTTCAAATAACTCCAACAACAACAAACCCCAACCCTACACCCCTCATCCTCTTCCATGGCATCGTTAATTACCGGCGATGACTCATATACCACCATATCTTCGATGAATTCCAATTTTGCGGCTTTAATTTGTAAAGATATCCTGCGTACGATCTTCGAAAAGCTTCCGGTGGTAGATCTAGCACGGTCGGCGTGTGTGTGCAGGTTGTGGAGTTCAGTAGCTTCTGATCGAGAGATTCAGGTTAGGGCTTTCAAGGCGCCGTGGAAATTGTAATGGTGTTCATTGTGGCGGAGGGATTAGGGTTTCTAGAGTGAGAGACGAAAGGGGAAATTAGGATAAATGTCTGCAGAAGGAAGCATGTAATGTTGTTCTCTATTCACATCGCTCAGCCACCACACTCCTCCCTCTCTATGTTGCAATCACAGATACACACCACCGTTAAAATCACAGCACTCCTTCACACTCCTACCAGCATAAGCTTCCATATTCTTGAACCTCATCTTCGAACCGGAAGCGTGAGTATCCCAAACATGGTTCCTTTAAAAAAGGTATATATTATTTTTCTATTTTTCTTACATGAAGTTTATTAGAGTTGTTTCTTTCTTCTTGAATTATGAAATATAAATACTTGTATGAATTATGAAATATGAATATCTCCAAACTTCTATAAAGTTATTTATGTTATGATATTGAGAGGTTTGAATGAATGTTGTAGGAATACATGTTAAAAGAAGAGTTCAGACTTTCGAGTATTACAACTGAAGACTCGGTACCTGAGAGAAAAGCTCTTAATCGCATCAAGTTTGAAATACCTTATTTTTTACAGTTTCAAGAATACAGGTAACCCATTGTGCATTTTATTTTGGATCATCATCATGTTTTATTAAAGTGAAGATGTTTTTGGTTGTTGTATGTGTTTTACCAGAAGTAAATAATTTATTCAATGATAATTGTTACAGGGAACCTCTGTTATGGTGTAAAAGAAGATGTTGTATAATCTCCTACCCATGCCCTTTCTATTATTGCAGCAGGAGAAGGTAATAACCAATAGTTCATTGGACTTTTGCAGATATTTTGATTTATGTATGTGAAGTTGTCAGAGTTGTTGCAAGGAAGTGACATACTGTGAGCTACACAGCAGAGCATGTGAATGGGACCGACTCTTTTGGTGTTGTTTTTCAAATAAGTACGGCTCAGTTGTTTCCTTTTAACTAATAAATTATATAGAAAGAAAGACTTAATAGAAGTTGTCCCATTAAGTCCTATCATTTTACAAATCTACCATCATCTATTCATTCCTTCCAACTTTCAATATCATTTATCAACATCATTTGATCGATTTCTTCCTGATTTTGTTGATGGTAATTGATCCCACTTCATAGTTAAAGGGTATTCCCATCATTTTGCATGCACAACTTTGTTGGACTCAATTGACATGTGGAGATCCTTTAATATGATTCCAGCCATCATTTTGCATACACAACTGAAAGTTTTGGTTTATTTAACATGTTAAGTGATTCCAGCCATGAAATCCAGCAAAAAGCTGACTCAACACTTTCATAGTTTGTTTAGGAGATCAAGCACTCTCTGGTAAGACTTTATAGCTAATGAACAAGGTAATGGAATAAGTCACTGCATATGTTTGGTTGACCTATATTGAATTTTCATATGGATTTATTATATTATATGTAAATATAATATGTAGTTTTGACTCTACTCATTTATGTTATATTATTATAGCTGATGAATTTTTATTTACAAATTAAAAGTAAACATAATGAAAGCTTATTAAAACCCAAATAAGATTATACTAAAAACTATATATTTTTTAGTTACTTCTAGAAATAAAAATGCAAGTCATATAAATCATGAAAATACTTTAAAAAAAGTGTCTTTAGAAATTACATTAATAAAATGAGTTATATCACAAATTCTCATTTCATTCCATGATGGAATGAAAGGAAAAAAAACACTTTTTGATCATGGAATGAAAATTAGTAATATTGGAAGGGAATGGTTTATTACATTCCGTCAGGCAAAACAATGGAATGAGCCATTCCATGCCTTCTTTGATTTCATCATAACACCAAATTAACACGAGTTGTGGTTACCAGCACTCTACGGACATTACTCTGTAATTGCATCTATAGAATTAACACTTGTTCCTTACAACACTCAGAATTTGAATCTCATAAATGTCACAGTTGCTCTCCCGACTCTAGTATGTTTCTCCTACAAGCTCCGCCCTTTCAATATATTCAAATTTTACCTTATTACCCTTTCTTGTGAATCTCAAACCAAATAGTTTTTGCTCAAATAATCTATAGCTCTTTGTTGTGAAATCACTTTGATCTATTTTATTTTTGGTTTGAGTTTTGATTAGAGGCGTTTTAAGGGATTAAATAAGAACAAAAGGCATCCCTTCCATCAACTCCATATATGTCATCATATTACATCCTCCAAATACTACTTAACATATGTCTCTTTAAATCTCATATATTAGTTTTTTTGCAGCTCTCAATCTGATATGGAAGCTAATTTGTTTAAGGTGTATATATATATATATATATATATATATATATATATATATATATATATATATATATCCTTGTTATCTCCATTTTAGCCATGTCTAAGTTTTTACAATATGCCACTTTCAAATCAAAGGCATAACCATAATTATGACTTTGATTGCAGCTCATGGAAAGGCGGGGCTATGGGCAAGAATATATAAATCGTTACAAGATGATAACAAGGTATTTCCCAACTCTTCTTTTGTCCCCTTTTATAAATTCTTAATTTAGTAATTAAATCTTTCTTTTGTATTTACAAGATGATGACAAGTTATTTTTGTATGTGGCACAACATGTGTTGGAAAGTCAACAATTGCTACCCAGCTTGGTCAAAGGCTAAACTTTCCAAATGTTTTACAGGTGAATCTTGATGTCCCTTTTTTTTCTATATTTCAAATACCCCTTTGACTTTTCTCAGTGCACCTAAAATTATGTTCAGGTTTGGCTGGTGATTTTTTATGGCAATTTATTCGTTCTCATGTAGCTACACATATTCTTATCTTAATACAAACAACCATATAATATATTAATATACCACTTTGACTTTTCTTTTTGGGTTTTGCAGGACTTACTGTAAGTTTGAAAAACCAGATTCGTGTAACTTTTGCTGCAGGCCCATCTTCTCTTGAAGAAGATCTTGATAGAGTGAAGTCTTTTTGCCAAAAGCATTCTCATCAGCAAAAGGCTATTTTTCTAGTAGTGCCTTTTGTCTTACAGTTGTTATATTGAATGTTCAGGATGATTTAGATAACATAACTTGTTTTCTAATACTAGCAAGCGAACCTATAATCCCATGAATTGACAAACCCCATAAGGTAACAAAAAATATAATTTATTTTATTGTATTTTAAATCAAATTATCAAATCATATATAAACTACCCAAACAATATTCAAATTTTATTTTATCGCCTCAATTTTGCAGATTAGCATTGTGTTTACATTAGAAGAAGGCCCTAGGGTTTTATTCAATGCTTTAGCTATGTTTGCTCTAAAGGAGATCAACTTATCAAAAGTAAGTTATTTTTCTCACCCTTTTATATAATATTTTTGTGATTGAATGAAAGTCTTAATGAAAGTAATAGACAACCCTTTTTCTGTAAATGATGTTGTGATTGTGGGAGAGGTGTTGTGTTTTTCTCTGTTGCTAGGTAACCTTCTCAACAACAGCATTCTACTTAAGCGGGTGAGTAATCAAGATTAAGGGAGACTTGTAATCATGTTTGGCATTCCTTTCCAGTAAGAAACAGAGTTGTATGATTATTTGTTAGTTTTATAGGAATGTATAACCCATGTTAGCAATGTATTATTTTTGTTTAACATTTGAATGATTCTTTGTATGACATTATAATTTGTGCAATTTATTTTATTTTTTGAGTATCAAATTTTATTTTATATTATGCGATGGATTGTATTTTTTGTATATGGTATTTTATTTCTATTATGAGAAATTAAATGCAAATTTAATTTAAAAATTAATAAATATATAAATTTATTTTTTTAAACATTTAAATTTACGATACGCAAAAATGTGTGTCATCTTCATTTATAACATGGCCTTTCTTGACAGGGGCTTTCTTGATACGCATTGCGTGTCATTAACACGCGCGTCGTAAGGTTACGACACGTGAATGCGTGTCGTCTTCCTTTATAACAGGGCCTTCCTTGATACGCATTGTGTGTTGTAAACGCGCGCCGTAATTGCGCGTCGTAAATGAGCGTCATCTCTCTTTATGACAGGGTCTTCCTTGACGCGCATTTGCGCGTCGTCTGAGCCTTTTACGACGCGCAATGAGCGTCGTAAAAGGCTGTTTTTCTAGTAGTGTATCATGGGTAATTGTGTAATAGATAACACTTTGTAGTAGTCGATTTGTATCCAATCGTTTGTAATCACTTTATCAATGTAAAATATTGTTTTTATGAATATGCGTGTAGTATGTTTTGGAATAACAATTGTCAAATACGAAAGTGTAGGTCTTTCAATCATGGTATCAGAGCAGTGGTTTAAGTGAACTAAATACCACAGATTGGTATTTAGAATTAAACTATTGGAAGTTCATTATTTGAACTAATTCATTGTAATTATATGGATACAAACCTTAGGAAAGACTTATGTAGAATATTAGGTAATGATAAACCCTAATATTCTAAAATACAATGTTACTCCATATTGCAGAGCAATGACTGAACAAGTTAGTAGCCATATCCCTGAGGTGGGTGGAGGTCCTTAACCTGATGAAGTAAATACTCCAGTATCTCCTCGAGAGGAGTGACATATGGGTAAACTTACTGGTGTTATTTGGCAGACTCTGGAAGAACAAAAAAAGAGTGGTGTTAAAGGAAAAGAGAAAGCCACTGGAGAATCTTCAAAAGGAGAGGTGAAGCATCCCTCGTTCAAATATTTGAAAAGTAGTGGTGATACAAAGTTTTCAGGTGTTCTTAATCCCATTTTTGTTCTTACGTGGATCCAGAACACAGAGAAAGTGTTTCATATTTCTCATGTGGATAATGAAGACAAGGCTAATTATGCCTCTGCATAGCTCATCGGAGAAGCCTTAGTCTGGTGGGAAGCAACATACAAAGCTCTCAATGGGTATGACCAGGAGAATTTATCCTAGGAGATGTTCAAAACTCGCTTGCTAAATAAGTATTTTCCTCTAGACATGAGGAGGATATTGGAGAAGGAATTCCTCGAGCTTAAATAGGGAGGAATGACTGTGAATGAGTATGAAACTCAGTTTAATCAAAGAGCAAGGTTTGCCACAAAGTATATTCCAAATAAAGATGAGAAAATTCAGTTATTCATGGAGGGACTACAGGATGAAATCCATGATTTTGTTGTCAATCAGGATGTTATGTCATTCGATAAAGCCGTTGAGTATGCTCGAAGACGCAAGTAGGACTTAGAAATACGTGGTGCCACTTTTACTATCTCGAAGCATCCACGTACTGAAATAACTATTCTTGTTCCCACTATTCCACCAGCTCAATCCGTTCGATCTGAACCTAACAAGAAAGTGGAATCTCATAATGCTTTTCGTGGTCGTGGTAGATCACAAGCTTTTTCTATTCAATCACCTTAATGTCGAGTTTGTGGAAGGAATCATCCGGGCCAATGCAAAATAGACAAGGAATCTGTTGTCTGTTATGGATGTGGAGAAACGGGTCACATAAAGCCAACTTGCCCAAGAAAGGATGTTACTTGCTATGCATGTGGTATTACTGGCCACAAGAAGCGTTTTTGCCCTACTCGTACTTATTAGTTGATGGCAAGTCAAGCCTCTATTCAACTGAAAGACCCCAACTTTCGTATTTTTGAAAGATCTAAACTTTCATACTTCACAATATCATTACTCCAAAACATGCTATTTGCATATTCATAAAAGCAATATTTTACATTGATAAAGGGAATTACAAACTATTGGATACAAACCTTCTATTGCATAGGGTTATATATATTACATAACTACCCAGGATATTGTAATTTATACAAACATAAACTGTAGTACAAAAGTACTATTACAAACTATTCTAAATCTTTCAATAGTATGTAAACATACTAGTTACTTATCACCTGCAATTGTTAAACATCGATAGGGTAAGCGATGACGCTTAGTGAGTTCAATAATAGATACAATATAACGTTATGCCATATATATACTTCAATGTGGAAAAAGCAAAGAGGAACAACAAGATGTATGTGAGATCATGTGACAAGCGTTCATATCAATCAAAGACTTTATTCAAAGATATACTTTTCAATTCTTGATATACATCAATAAAGCTTTGGCCCAAATGGCATAGAAGACATGCAATTTCTGATTAACATCTTGTTAGATTTCAGGCTTATAGTCATGTCTAACCATTTGCCAATTCCATAGAATAGAAGTCATTCTCTTACGGAGACATGCTCTACATGGCCAGAGGCTACGTACCAGTACCAATGTGAATCTAAGTCCTTTCATTGATCACATGGTCAAAGGTATTACAATTGCTATAAACATAACGAATAACACAAGAAAATAACTCAGAATAATAACACTGAAAACCACATATCACATATAACACATAACATACAATTGTTCATATATATTGAACTCATCTTAAGTTAACCGGGGGTTAAAATAGTAATTTGGACAGCACTTCGGCTTTAAATATGTCTTTCTATGTTGAAAACCGGGATCTTAATTGAAAACCGGGCTCTAAGAAGGTAGGGCTTCAAAACCGAAAAGATAAAATTTTCGGGCTTCTCGGGGGTCTCGGGACGTGTTTCGGGTGCTAAAATTGATATCGGGGCTTCGGGGAAAGTCAAAATGAAGAAAATATGGAAAAAGGGGCTAAAAGTGGCAATTTTCAAATTCTAGCCGGGAGGGTTCGCACCCTCCTATTTATAGGGCCGAGGTTCGGAGTCGGCTAAGAAGGAAGCAAGCAGAGAAGTAGATTGGTGGCATCAGCAGTGAGGGGCAGGTGGCGCGAGAAGCGAAGGCCACTAGGCCTGCTGCGAGGCTCGAACGTGGCTTCGTATGCGAGGCGGGTAGGCGAGACGTGGAGGAACGACGTTCGCACACCGCAACGAGGCGCATCGGAGGATGATTGGCTTGCACTTCGGTTGAATCAGTAGGCAACACGCATCGGTCTCGGTTTGGGCCACGTCTCCGGTGACGCTGTTGCTTCGTGCGAGGTGACGTGTCCGAACACTGTTCATGCGAAATTCTCGGATTTCAAGCCCCGAACTCCTAAAATCCATAACATTTGCATACAAGCTCCATTATTTACGTTCTTTATATGCACGCGTAGCTAAAATTACGCTCTACAACTTTCGTTTAGACATCATCGGCTAATTTTGATTTTATTTTTAATTTTATTATTTCTAACAGACCGGGACAGGAAAATCCGTTAAAAATTCGTAACTTCTTCATCCGACATCCGTTTTCGTCAGACTTTTTACCGTTGTACTACAAATGACGAGACCTTTGATTCTAGTTTAGGATGTATCGGTCAAATATCGCTCGATCTAAAATTCGAGTTTTTAGCTGTCTACTGCTAAGTTGAAACTTCAAAAAATCATAACTTCCTCATACGAAGTCAGATTTTGGCATTCTTTTTATCAAATTTCTCGGTTTAACGAATACTACGGCTTTCATTTAGATTACTAAGGCTAGAAAGTAGTTTATCAAAAACTCACTTTTTACGTCATTCGGCGCCGTGCCGGTTTTGTCGCGGATCTTCGGTTCGTCATAACTATTTCGTTATAACTCAGATTTTGATGAGGTTTTCGCCTACAAGTTTCTAACGAGATTCTCTACAAAATCAAATAATAAAATTTTACTTATTTAAAATTTTATATTTTCACTAAATTCCACTATTTGTCTTTTAATTGGAATTTCATAAGACTTCCAATATTTTCTGAGTGATTCTAAACATAGTTTTACTTCATTTCTAGTAAAAACCATCTGTTAGAATTCAACACTTAATTTGACATAGTATTTCACAATTTTATTTATTACAAAACATGATTTCAAAACGTGTATGTTACATCAACAACCAGCGAGAAGTCAAGCTTCTATTCAACAATCAAAGGGTACTCCAACTAAAAAGGAGGAGGTGCCAAAAGCTAAGGGTCGTGCATTCCAGATTACCACAGAGGAGGCACACGAGGACCCGAATGTTGTGACGGGTACATTTCTTGTCAACTCTAGACCTGCTCACATCTTATTTGATTATGGTGCCT